CGCTATGTTAAATGGAGTCCTTTGGGACCAAAGGATCTTCAAAGAGAACAAAAGAAGGATCTACAACGCGATTGTCAAGAGCATAGTAACCTACGGGTGTGAAGTATGGCCGATGAAGCAGCGGACCCGGGAGGTTTTAGAGGCAACAGAGATGGACTTCTGGCGTAGATCCGCTGGTATTTCCAGAAAGGATCGCGTCAGGAATGAGACGGTACGGGATATCATGGATACCAAGCAGATCATCGTGCATGACATTATGACAAAACAACTCATTTGGTATGGTCATGTCCAGAGAATGGCAGGAGACAGGTTGCCGAAGAAGGTCCTTGACTGGGTTCCTCCTGGGAGAAGACGCAGAGGGCGCCCAATGAAAGGTTGGTGGGAAGGGATTGAAGCGGAAATGTTAAGGTGCTCAATCCCCCAAGATTTGTGGTTTGAAAGAGAGGAGTGGAGGTTAGGAGTCGTAGAGCGCGAGGGAGTGCTGTAAAGCGACTTATATGTATGTATGTATGTATGTATGTATGTGAAATTCAAAAATTATGCTAAAAGTTATTAAATACGGATAGGACTAAGTAAGTTTTTTTTTACATTACAGCTCTCTTTTTGTAACGTAGTATCTTGATTTATTTTGCAAGGAAAGCTCTATACCCTTTAAGGAAGCTTCTCATTATTGATACGTTGGAGCGCCTTCAATCTCGTATGATACTGTGCAACACCTATGTCGCGAAATAGTTGCTTGAAACGCCGCCGCGCCGCGCCGTGTAGCTCTCTGCGGCGAGGCGGGCGACCAGCGTGACACGCTAGGGTGGCCCAAATTTGGCAATGTCGGAATTTTTTTGGTCTTACCCCCTAGAACTGTTCCATTTGATCAAAAAACACTCTCTGCCAAGTTTCAGCCAAATCGGATAATATTAACCCGTGCCGACAGAGCCATCTTCTTTACATGGGATTTTACATTGAAAACACTTTTTTCCAGAAAAATCCATTTTTCGAAAAATGTGTAATTTCTAGAAAAAATCTGAGATCATGCTCGGCTTTAGCAGGAAAAATTGAGTGGGAAAACATGTATTAGACACTTCCAAAAAAAATTCTTACCCCTCGTCATAGCGGCGAAACAACTGAAACACCTAGAAAACGCTAAAAAAGGATAAAATGACGGTGATAAATCCGAAATAATTACGTACGTCTGCATCCGAAAACAAAGCTCAACATATGGTAGGTGATTCCTATGTAATTTTATACGCTGAGTCCGAGAGGACTATCCATTTTTCTCTATTCCATCGGGATTTTCCGGAAAATCAATTTTCTTGTATAAAAAGAGGGTTTTCCGGGGAAAACTCAATTTTCAGGAAATAAACCTCAACATGTGACGGATGGTTTTTTTGTGTTTTTTAACGCTAAGTCCGAAAATGAAGTCAACGTTGTTCCATTACGACGAGATTTTCCGGAAAATCGATTTTCTCGTAGAAAAGAGTTTTTCGGAGAAAACTTAATTGCTAGGAAATGAACGATCGACTTGTAATAGAGGTTTTTGATGTGTTGTTTAACGGTGAACTCGAAAATCATGACCGTTTCCCTCTATTCCACTAGGAGTTTCTGAGGAACTAAATTTTCCCGTTAAAAAGGTTATTTTCCAAGGAAAACTCGGTAAATCGATTTTCCGAAAATCTCGATGTAATGGAGCAACTTTGACTTCATTTTCGGACTCAGCGTTGAAAAAGACATTAAAAACATCCGTCACATGTTGAGGTTTATTTCCTGAAAATTGAGTTTTCCCCGGAAAACCCTCTTTTTATACAAGAAAATTGATTTTCCGGAAAATCCTGATGGAATAGAGAAAAATGGATAGCACTCTCGGACTCAGCGTATAAAATTACATAGGAATCACCTACCATATGTTGAGCTTTGTTTTCGGATGCAGACGTACGTAATTATTTCGGATTTATCACCGTCATTTTATCCTTTTTTAGCGTTTTCTAGGTGTTTCAGTTGTTTCGCCGCTATGACGAGGAGTAAGAATTTTTTTTGAGGTGTCTAATACATGTTTTCCCACTCAATTTTTCCTGCTAAAGCCGAGCATGATCTCAGATTTTTTCTAGAAATTACACATTTTCCGAAAAATGGATTTTTCTGGAAAAAAGTGTTTTCAATGTAAAATCCCATATAAAGAAGATGGCTCTGTCGGCACGGGTTAATATTATCCGATTTGGCTGAAACTTGGCAGAGAGTGTTTTTTGATCAAATGGAACGGTTCTAGGGGGTAAGACCAAAAAAATTCGCAAAATGAATTTGGCTGTGTATAATTGGGACACCCTAGTGATACGCGGCGGGCGGGCAGCCACCGCGAAACGCGCATTGGCGCCTTCAAACCTAATGGGGATACCTCACGCATTGCGCAACGCGTGAAGTATCCTGTTAGGTTTGTAGGCGCCGCGCCAGTGCGCATTTTGCTCTGAGTTTGGCTCTAATATTTAAACTCGCGGAGTCAGCGTTTTTCAACTCATGATTTTGAAACGTTTGCACGCACTGCACGGATTATTCTCATTTAAATTTATGAAGAAAAAAAGAATATTTATTAAAGGAAAATATGACGTGTGTTTTGAAAATATTAAGGTGGTTCCGTGTCTATTTTAATGATTTCCAAAGCTTTTTAATATTTATTTTATATGTTTTGTGCTTTCACTGTGTGCTACAGCGTGGTGTATTCGCAATCAAACGCTCAAAATTGGACGTGTTTGACTGTGAAAGATCGACGTTAAAGTGGGTTAAAACCAAAGATTGTGTCCTCCTTGATTTTTTCTCTCTCTTTTTCATTTTTGTGTAGTTCCTTTCAACACAAGTACGGCTCATTGAGATTAATATCGATGTCATCGCTTGGAAAAGGTTTTACAAATATTTGCCACGTTTGAAAAATATAATGTTTTTTAAAATGAAGTAAAATTATCATTTAAAAAAAGGAATATATATAAACTGTATATTTTAAATCGACATCGTTTATTTGTTTATACTCCCATTTTCAAAATTATCTGTAAAGACGTTAATAGCCTGAGACGCTGAATGTCTTAAAATTATATTAACTAACTAACTTTATAGATAGAAATAAAACCAAATATTCACCAATGAAAATTTGAAACATGAATCAAAAGAAGAAAGTAATATTTCATTTAAAAAACGAGTTACCATAGCAACACCTTCTCCTCTCTCAATTTTCTAATTCGATATTGTCAATATGATTTTACATACGGACTGAAATATATCCTTTGGACCAAGTCACTGTTTTTTATTTTACGCGTGGACGTAAATTACTGGACTAAACAGGTGCCCGGACAAAAAATCGTTGACGGAATGTCCTGAGACCACTCCTATTTGCAATTTGCAGTCATAGGACAGTAAAATAGTGCTAAAATTCGCATTGGTCTAAGGGGTTATCAAAGCCAGACGAAAAATGAAAAATTGACATTACAGCCAAAAAATCAACTCTAATGCGTTTCAGTGCAAGGTATAAGGTTAGAGGGAAGAGCGTGCTTACCTCATTCCCAGGAAAAATACATATCGACGGTGAAAGTCGGCAATCACATAACTCGGTTTGCGACGTCGCAGACTTCCTGTCATACTTTATTTTGTAAGTGGAAAACTACTCAACGGTAATTCTTCAAAACTGTCATGATTTTTCTTCTCAATGCGAAGAAAATTCTTCAAAAACTTCAAGAAATAATGTCAATTTGTTCTCCTTTAAAAAAATGACGTAGAGGCGGAGATTTTCAGACACCGCAAACGTGTTATGTGATTGCCGACTTTCACCGTCGATATGAGTCAGTAGTGAGGCGTGAATGATCGATCATCGATGTTTCCCTATTTGAAGCCATGGTGAAGAGTCGATTATTAAGGTGCTCGTTGTGAGCACCCTGTTCCATAGGTTTAAATGACAGATAAATCGATACATCGCAAGGCACGCCACGCCACTGATCGGAGTACTAATCTGCCTTAGCTGAAGACTTTTCTCTCCAGCCCCTCAGTTTTGCTCTGAATCACATTTGAGTTCATTTTGTAGCTATAATTTCAATTGTTGGTTTTTTCCGGTCTTCATGGCCCCGCAGAATAGTGTGAACCTACCGCTAGTCTACTATCCTGTCACTCATAGTATTCGCGTCATCCTTCTCTTTTCTTCCTCTGTCTCCCTTTCCTCGCTCCCTTTTTGCAGTTCTATGGTTACCTTTGTCTCTTTTGTTTCACCACCATTTTCCCCCTAATTTATCAGAGCTCTTAAATTGATTGACTGAATTGTTCCTTGTAACAACAAGAACCGAAGTATGATGCTTTCGTCACATTCAATCGAGTGTGCCCTCCCGATGACTTTCTGTGTGATTTTTGATGTGGTCCCCATTAAATTAAATTTTCAGTGGACTTTAGATACAATATTTTCACTAAAGACTCTATGATAATTTGTTATGTATTTCTTCACCCTAGGAGTCGAAGCTAAAGTAGACTACCTAGCAGATTTAGGAGTGGGAGCAATCTGGTTGAACCCGTTTTTTAAATCACCAAAGATCGATAACGGATACGACATCAGTGATTACGTGTCGATTGATCCGATTTATGGAACCATGGAGGATTTTGAAAGCATGCTCAAGACATATAAAGCAAAAGGTAAGCTCGGAGAGGGTTTAAGGTGAAACGACATTTCTCCAATAAATATTCTTGTCAATAACACTGTTTAACACTCAAAAATGACCTGGTGTTTTCATGGCTGAACGTTACTAATTTTTTTAAAAAAAAGACCTCCTTTACAATGACCTACTCTTTTTATTGGTCTCCAGTTTCGCATTTAACCCCTTATAAGGGACGAAAAATTGATTTTTACAACTCTAATTATTGTGTTATCATACATCACTACATACAGGGAAGCTACACTATTGCTTGGTTAATCATCAAAACAATATATGTTGTCATACTTTTTTACCTAAGGGAAAGCGGCTGGGGTTAGTGTGATGAGAGCCTCTCCAAAAATGGCAAAAAGCACCTCTTGTCGTTTTTTTAGGCCTCCCATTATTTATTTGTCTGTAATGGCTTCTCTTTTTTTCTCATTTGCCGATTCTTTCAGTTTCCATTTCCCATTCAATCTTTTTTCTTAAACTCCTTACTCTTTTGAAAGAGGTTGAGGTGTAGTTTAATGAGACCCCCCCCCCCCCCCCCCCCCCNGCATCCCTTATGGCCAAAAATACCATCTCTCGCACTTTCCAGGTATCAAGATATTCGGGGTATGTTCATTTTCACATTGACCTATTTCATAATAAAGTAAATCAGCTCAATAATTTAGATAGGTTTGAAAGTGATAAATCTCACATAGCCACTTTTTTTTTCATTAAATTCTGAAAAAAAGAAGTTCATCAAAATTTATAGTGCCGTGACTTAATTTTTCCTATTATCCATCTTGAGTGTAATACTATCTTTTTTCGGTTGATTTTTAGGCATCGAAATTATCTTGGATTTTGTCCTAAACCATACAAGTGATCAACATGAGTGGTTTAAAAAATCAGTGAAAAAAGAGGGTAAATATACTAATTATTATATTTGGGCGGATCCAAAGGAATGGGTTGACGAGAAACCAGTACCTCCAAATAACTGGGTAAGAACTTATTTCAGTAAACTTTTCAAACATCCATAGACATGAAAACACATTCTTCTGTGGCTGTGCAACATTAACGTGCCTCGTCATATGCGCTTGTGTATCATGCATGTGCAAACATACGCAATATTGAAATAGCTGTTGTACCACGCAAATGACTTTAATGTCCATCTGTCTTGGCCAACGACCCTCTGCTATTCGTAAAAGTATAGTAAATAAAAAGCGTTTGAAAAGTAATAATTAACATTTAAGTTAATAGATAAACGTAAAAAACCAAATATTTGCGTGAAGAGTACCTCGTGGAATTCAAATCACATCGTTATTACTGAGAAGAAGAGTTTGAAGCTGCCTGTCACAGGGTTGGTGGGTGCTATCTCTAAATTTGACTCATTTTTAAAGGCATAAAAATAATCTATCCATCAGTTGAACTCGTCATCAAAAAATGTGTTCACTACGTCCTGTCATGGATGTGTTTTTGCCCATGCACGCAAGAACGATCTATCATTGTAACTTTTAAACATGCGAGTGTTGTCAAAAAAGTCTAAATTTACGTATTTTTCACATTTTTCATATCGTAAAAATATATTTAATCATAATGCACGTATCTAATATAAAAATGATATATCTCATTGCAGCAATCAGTACTCGGATCAGGTAACGCCTGGGAATGGAATGAAGAGCGAAAACAGTTTTATTACCACGCTTTCTTCAAACAGCAGCCGGACCTCAATTTACGAAATGCAGATGTTCTCAAAGAATTAGGGGTAAGTTAGAAGGAAACAAATCAAATAAACACTGTCTAAGCTCAAATTTTAATCATATCGTCGCCCCTCTGGCGTAAGGGCGTATCTTAATTATTACTTGAGCCCTGTTTTACATGTAAATCTGTGCTATATGGGGCTCACGCTAATATCGAGATACGTTCTTACGTCAGAAAAGCGACGATATTTTGCTTACTCGTATGTCTATTTCCCACAGGATATTTTGGAGTTTTGGTTGGAGAAAGGAGTCAGAGGGTTTCGAGCTGATGCTGTGCCTTGGTTGGTCGAGGACAAGGAGCTGCGAGATGAACCTTTTTTTGGAGTCTACACTCAAAACACGAACGAAACCTACAGGATAATTCAATTTTTGAGGGCTGCGTTTGAAGAATACGGGAAACTCTACAAAGAAGATATGTAAGTGATTTCAATGCATATGAATGGAGTACCAACAAATTTGGATTCTGATAAAGTCTCCGCATGAATATAGATTAGAAACCCCCTCCTTTTTAGGGATAAGCTTACGCATTTTTTGGTCTTTAAAAACTCTGCTCTTATAGATGAGCGTCTATGTTTAACGAGCTAATAGAGACATCATTTCAAAATATTATTGAACTCTGAATGCACAAGTATTGGGACACTGTCCAACCATTTCTTTTTGGTATTTTTAAAGGAACACAAACGCATAGTTTACTGAACAAGTTTGTTGCTTACACTGGTTTAGAAAAATAATGTGTGCGTGTGTGTCTTTCAGCTTTTAACATAGCAGGCAATTTTTCTATTTTTTTAAGAAAACTATGTAAAACCGATACAAAGAGGCATTTCTGTTGTAAACTAATTTTATCAATGTCTGACAATTTTGTTGCAAGTTTACACTGTTAAGTAAAATTTTGATGAAAAACTTTAAACACTAGAGAACCACGAGACCCAACCGTCACGAAACGCTTTGTACCCTTAAATGGTTGTTTATTGGGGTCATATTTCAAAAATGCAAAGAAAACTGGCTCATTTAAAGGTTATTCCTTGCCAATAGCCGCAAAACTCATACAAAATCGACCCGGTAGATCTCTAGTACGAGTTGTTACAAAAAATGAAAACTTGCATCGTTCGAATGACAAATTCACAATTTCATTACAATAAAGAGCTGGATCGTACTGCAAAAATGTAAAGAGATGCAAGAGCAGCTGAATATTATTATCTAACAAAGTTCACAAATATAATGTTAGTGGGCACTGAAAAAAGACGTTTGATGATTTCGATGCATCACTATTTCTGGCTTATTTTAAAAACAACATATGTGTTATTGGTTTCCCACTGCAGAAAGGTGCTTTTATGGACGAGTCAGAGATAGTGCACGGAAAAAAAAGGTTGTCTCGTGCAGCCATGAAGATGGTCGGTTCGACCATCTTCGAAAGCTGAAAACCGCGCCAACCAAATTGTTGGCTAGATCGACAACCAGCAGGTAGCGACGCTGCCTTCATGCCGCGCGGCTGGGTCAGCCCTGCGGAGATGGTTAGATCAACCCGAGCGCTCGGCCGCAGCGCTCAGCAATTATGTCAAAGTGACCCATTTTGAGGGCTACCATGCCCGCTTAGTTTTGCCAAAATGGACAGCGGTCATTGCTACAATTTTTCGGGGCTTTTAATGGAAAATAGGGGGCCAGGAGCCCCGTAAAATAAATATCTGAGAACGCTAAATTGTAAAAATGAAAAATATGAAATTTGTTAATTTACTCAACTTATTTTACTACGATAGAATTTTTTCTACCCATTATTTGGGATTGAACCTGGACCTACCTAATCCTAACCTAACACCCTAACGATTGAGCTATGACGACCGATGATGAAGGAGCACAAAAAATCTATATTTAACCGTCAACGTCGATCTGCTTGAGTTTGATAACTGAATTCTAATCTAGATTTGTATGTGTGATCATTTGTTTCATTTCTTTAAATCGCACAGCCTGTTTTTTTCTTTATTATACTTTTTATTTCTACTACACACGCTACAAAAAAAAATATGATCGGATTTACCAGTGTTTGGTTATTATTAACCATGCTGTCTTCTTGCTTTTTTCCAATGAAGCTGCGCAGTTTAGTTAGTTACCAATATACCAGTATTGTAAATTACACGATACGGCTGACACCATGCTAGTGTGGCGTTTCCGTGTGGTTCCTTATTGCAAAATGCAATCCAAATGATGTTGTATAGGTACCAAATTATTGGTGCTGCATAGCAAACGTATTAAAGTTGTACTAGTAACTTCGTCGTTTGTCGTGCGAAGGAACGTAACACCATTCCAAGGTCGCAAAATTGGCTGAAACAAACCAATTTTTTACTAGAATGTACATGCAGAATTTTCGTCACAAATTTGTCTGATTTTTGCAGGATATGAGAAGGTATATTAGTGTAATTTTCAGTGAGAAATTCTCAAAATTCTTCTGAAATTTAGCAAAAAATCTGGCAACATTGAAATGTAGTAACGTTCTTTCGCGAGAGAAACAATGAGTTGGTGTACTGCGAAAAAGGTTGTAGCTGTGTGGAATTATCCAACCCTATTTCAAGCAGGCTCAGCAGATCTGTAGAACCCTGAGGGAGTCAAAAAGCTTACATACATGCGATGATAGTAATTCTGATTTCCTGTTTCTACTGGTCCATAAAATACGACCGATTATTGCAGATTCCTAACGACAGAAGCTTATGCGTCTCCCGAGGCAGTTCTGCGTTACTACGGCACTCCAAAAATGCCCGGAGCCCACATGCCTTTTAACTTCAACCTCATCACTGATTTGCATCCTTTTACAAAAGCTGCCGAACTTAACAACACTATCGCTGGGTATCTAGGAAGCTTGACGCTAGATCAGTTACCGAACTGGGTGGTGAGCTAATGTTTAGACTTATTATAGGTAGCTTGTTTGATCAGGTGATATTCTCATACTATCATTGTAAACTGATTTTGTTCTGATTGCAAACTCAAAGGTCCACGAATGAGAAACAAAATTGGCAAGTAGGGCTTGCATTAATTTCATGAAACGTGCTAACTTGCGGCTTACTCTGAAAAATCTGAAAGCTCAATTTCACGGAAGCCGGATAAAGTCGTCATCATTATTACACGATTAATGGCAATTGGAAATTCTCGAAATTTCTATAACGTTCGAGCACTCTGGACCCTTGACTCATCCTCGAGAGCTGTCAAACGTTTTTCAAGCTACAATAACCTCTCGAGGATCATCAAAAATGCAGTGGCGATGGCGTGTATTGCGATGTATCGATTGATCTGCCATTAGAACTAATGGAAAAAGATCGATAGAAGGATGTATGCAACGATTACCTTAATAATCGATTCTTTATCACGCCTTCAAATGGGGAAATATCGATAATTGACCATTCACGCCTCGCGTTCTGCAAAAGTGTCGAGTCGGGATACCTTTGTTTCTAGAAAAATAATTTTAGCTCTCGGTGTAATGATCGTGAGTCACTCTTTTTGTAAAATTTTTCTGATTTTTCATTCTACTTGAGAATTTTAAACTTTTGACAACTTCTAAAAATCTATCAAAAGTTTGATAACGGGAAACCTGTCTGTTAATCCTCAAAAACTTGTCACCAATGTTCCATGCAAGCATTAAAAGGTCATCGTTTGCTTGTCACAGTAACCCATCTGCAGAAAGTTCGGGAAAAGCAAAACCTTTACGTTTCATTATTTTTTTCTGTTTGACGTTGAATAACTAGTGCGTGCTGGTTTTAACCGTCATCTCTGGCCTTGAGATGGTTGCCCGAAAAATATTCATTCCTTTTTTTTCAACAGAATATGCACTACTTGAACTTTTTAACACGAAGAAACTTCACAGAAATTCATGGTAAAACTGCTGGTCAGTTTTCTTGAATAACTATAGAGCATGAGCGAATATATCGACGGTATAAGTCGGCAATCACATAACTCGGTTCGCGACATCGCAGACTTCCTGTCATCCTTTATTTTTTAAATGGAAAACTACTCAACGGCTATTCTTTAAAACTACCGTGATTTGTCTTCTTTGAGCGAAGAAAATTCTGCAAAAACATTAAAGAATAATTTCAATTTGTTCTCCTTTAAAAAAAATAACATAAAGGCGGAGATTTTTAGACACCACAAACGAGATATCGACGGTGAAACTACCGGTTTGCGACGTCGCAGACTTCCTGTCATACTTTATTTTTTAAATGAAAAACTACTTAACATCCAGTCTTGAAAATTTCAAGGAATGATATTGATTTGGTCTACTTCAAAAAAATAAAATGTGAGCGTAGATTTTTAAACACCGCAAACGAGATACGTGGTTTGGTAGTTTCACCGTCGATATGTGATTGCGGACTTACGCCGTCGATATGCAACTTTGCAATTAGAGATACGCAATTTTTTACTTTATTGGTCTTGGTAATATTCTGTTTGAGCGTATTATATCCACGTAAAGTATGCCCAATCACGTGGACATATAGATAAAAAAAATGAGAATTTTCAAAATTCAGAGAACGGAAACTACATCGGGTGAAATTGAATTTCCTGGGAAACTTTGCCACAAAAAATCACACATATACAACGTGCATGTTAATCGTTCACACTTTGAAGAGCCTTCGGGTACATTTCTAAGAGCTTTCCCAAAAATTGTCTTAAAATCACATCGTTCTCGTTCCTGTTTCACGAATTTCCAAAGACTTTTTGATGCGTTGGTCAGTGCCCAGTGGAAGTCAAATAATGCATTCCACCTCTGCATGTTTCAGTCAGGTAATCACGACAGGCCCCGTACCAAATCGCGGTTGGGGTTCACCACATCAGTCGACATCCTGAATATGCTCAATCTCCTTTTGCCTGGCACCGCAACTGTTTACTACGGTGATGAGATCGGGATGGACAATTACTGGAGCATAGATAAAGACCTTTGCCCGGAGATAGCTCGCGGCGATTTTCGAACCCCTAGCAGAACGCCTTTCCATTGGTCCGCCGAGAAAAACGCAGGTGGGCCTTGATCTCTTAAATAAATTCCAGCATTGAAATCAGATTTTCTAAAGTGGGCAGGAGGATGAGGGCAGGGGCATATATCTTAAGACCCCATACGAATGGTTTCCCTTATTCATGTAAAAATAATGGGTCAATTGCGCTGGCCACAGAATCGTGTTTTTATGATTGATTCTGGTAGATCAGGTACAAATAATGTATGTTTAAGTCGCTTTCAGGGCGCGCTGGGTCGCTCTGCGACGCCTACCCGCCACGCAAATCTGCAATGGTAGAGATCTCTCGAAAGCTGGCATTCCTCCATCCCTTGACGGACGGCCTCTACCCTAGGTTAGGTTGTACGCCCTCTCCGACGCCTTCCTGGAGAGACCCACTACAATACAATCTTCGGCAACCTGGTATCAGCCATCCTCTGCACATGTCCATATCATACCAACTGCTTGATCATGATATCGTGCACATTGTCCCCTCAAAAAAAATAAGATCTGTCCAACAACAACGTTCTATGCGACGTCATCCTCCGTGGTGGTCACACCCTTAATTTCTTTCAACTAGCTCTCATCAGTCGGTGTGATGCACATTTACACTGGTTGTTCAACGTGAAACTCGGATGAAAACAAGGTGGAAGAAACTAAGGGTATCATCACCGCGGTGGATAACGTCAAAAACCCGACTTTTCAGAGGGTGATATCTCGGTTAATATTGAAGGTAGAAAGTTGCTGTTTACAGAAATCTGATCATTTTCGGCTGAACTTCAAGAATCAAGTATTAAAACACGATTCAGTGACCAGCGCAACTGACTCATTTTTGTAAATCATCACTGTTTTTCGTCAAATGATGATTGCTGAAGAATTTGCCGAGCAATCTAATCATCATATCACGACAGAGCAACAAACACAATTAAATATTTCCGTGCTTGGTGTTACTCTGTATTACTTTGTGTTACTTTTGTGTGTCAGATCAACCCAGAGGACTTGGTTGCTCAACACAATTTTTTGTTAAACCGACCCAAAATGTAGGTTACTCTGAGACATCGGATCATGAAGGAGGTATCCTGCCAAATTTATGCATTCTCGTTTTCCCCTTCATACTCAGAGGTTGCAGCTAGGGCATTGAATTATCACCTATGTGATCCAGGTTCGATCCTGGCGGCTGGCGACTAGTTTTTGGCGAAGTCGCAGGTTTTCAACGTAAAGATTTGGTCACCCCAACCAAAGGGTCTGTTTAAATTTTGTGAAAAACCAGTCCAATGAAATGATCACTCGAGGCAATGGGGCATTTCTCTTTATTTCTTTTCAATTCTGCCCAGGTTCAGATAGAGTGCCCTCACAAGGCGAGCATACTGAGAGACACAAGGGACACTGTAGGCTGCATTTTTAGTTTGTTCAGCCGTCGCAAATTCACGGAAAAATTTAAATTGCTGATTTAACAGTTCAATTGCTGATAAAAGTAACTGTGATGTTTCAATGTATATTTTACGTCAGAAAAATGCTACTTTAACCATCCCCGTAGTTAAATCAGCTCTTAATAGTGGTTAAAGTAGAATTTTTCGTTGTAAAATCTACGTTGAGACGTTGCAGTCACTTTTTTAGCAATTGAATTTTTAAATCAGCAATTGAATTTTTTCCGTGATTGCATGCTCAGTGATAGTCATAGCTCAGATGTGGGTAATAATGACTGAAGATTTAATGTTATTCGTTTCACCGTGAGTTTTACTTAAATACCACTCAAAAGCATTTTTAATTCATTTAGTAGCTAATTGTGAGTTTTACGCATAAGAAAATTATTCCTGCATGCGTATTTTTCGTGGCACAATTGGCTGGAGTGCATTTTATAGCAGGTAATGCAAGTGAAGCAGGGAAACAACCTTTTCCCATTTAGGCCGTCATTATTTTTGGTCCTCAAGCAAAAGTTATGACACTAAGTGTTCACAAAAGGGCCTTGATCAGGCAGTTAAAGGTCAATAATAGTTTGTACTTCGTAAACTTTCGATGCAATTGTAGGTAACCATTTGACCCGAGAAATCTACATTAAGCGTATTAGGTGAAGTCGTGAGACGCGCTCGATAGCACTGAACGGGACGTTATCCGCCTTCATTTTGACAGCTAGGCAAAAAACATCTCCCCCGAGTCGAAATAGTCGTATCCTCTGAGATTGAAGGTCCAGTTACACGATCAAATTGAGCCATCAAATTGGACCTCTTATTGGTCGCATCCTCACCTCAGGTCCTTTTCCACCAATCAGAGCTTCAATTTGATGGCTCAATTTGATCGTGCAACTGGACCCTAACATTTTAAAGGAGACTGCAGAAACAGAGTGGGTTGTTCCTCGCCATATCTCTCCACGTTAGCTTGCAATTTAGAGCGATATTTAGTTCCGTTCTGCGCGTATGATAATGTTTTCCATGTTTTGAATGTAGTAACTTTGATCGTGCCTTTTTTATTTAATTCTTATCTCATATTCCTACCGATATTCCAGGATTCACCAAGGGTGAGAAACCTTGGCTGCCAGTCAATCCAGAGCACTATTCTGTCAACGTGGCTGCACAGAAGAAACCCCAGTGTAATTTAGGCGGAACAACGCACCTACAAAATTTCAAAAAAATGGCTCACATGAAGAAAAAAAATCTCGCTGTCCGCAAAGGAAAGACAGCAACTTATGTTCTGAACGAGCATGTTTTCGCATTTGCCAGGTAGACTTTTAGCTTTACTGCAAGGTTAAAACTATGCACTGATTTGGACTCAGTTTCACTTAAGTATCCAAATTTTACTCCAATCCCTGACATTATTGAACTTGAACTCACTTCGCGTATAGACTGTCGATCCTCCTTTCTCTCGGTCTATATTTGAGTGTAAACCTGTTACTTAAAGTTGAATCATACTTATACTTACCTGCGGTTATAGATTGTTGGATATCAATAAAAATAACCAAGTGATCAAACAGACAGCCAATTGTTCTATCGTAGACTATAATAACACTGAGGTATTTTCAGATTTTTGAACAGTGAATTATTGACATTGTAGGTAAGAACCCTATGTAATATGTTCGATTACTTCACGATATTGTCCATAATTTTTAGCTCTGAGTGAACGTCTGTACAAAATTGCTTATTTCTCATAAATACAGATTGTTTGACAAGAAAAGCGATTTGAAAAATTCCAAATAAATTGTTTATCAATCGTTCCCTCTACCGTGCGAAAAAGTTATAAATGTTGTTTGGAACATGCAAAACTTGGTAATTCTTAAAAATGTGTCTATTTGCCTAGACATCTGTAAAGTACCTAATTTAAAAAGAGCATCTGACAAATGGGAGAAGGAAATCTAAAAAACAATACTTTAAATTCGCGAGCATAGGCTGTTGTTAGAATTGTCTGCCGCCATTCTGAATTTCCTTAAAACTTTAACATTATTTATTGTTTCAGAATACACCCAAAAACAATGACTTTAGTTGTTATAAATCTTGGTCCAACGGTGAGTGAGCCCATTGACCTTGCCCAAAAAATTCCAGTTGTCAAGAGAGGGACACTTGTCGAGGTTGAGGTAAAAAGTGTCAACATGCCTAGGTAAGAAAATTATATAATCACTTTAAAATGAAAACAAGAGATAATTTCGGATGGGGCTACTTTTCTGAGCATGATATTATAAACTAATGTTTAACCGAGGGAATACTCATCTGAATCAATTTTCACTGAAAATTAAAGCATAAGTTTAAACCAAATCGACGGTGTAAGTCCGCTTCTACGGTACGTACCTCGATTTTTGAAGGTTTTGACTAATAGCTACTGTAGAAATGAGGTGTAGTAAGAAAAAGTAAGAAAGTAGGAAAACGAACCTTAATTCTAAGATGAGGATGAGGAATGTTGATGAGTTATTTCGCTCTCCTACAAAATCGCGTTCCAAAGGTACGTGGCGGCGGACTCATACACCGTCGGAATAAACTTTGGCTCAAATGCAATAGAACGAACCTACTTGCAGGCATCATGGTCTCAAGTAGAAATTTCCGTCGAAAAATTTCTGGTAGGTGATTTTTTCATATATTCCCGGTCATTCAACATCGTCACGTTGAAACATGACCTTGACCTGAAATAAATAAGCTCTTCCTTATTATGTCATTTTAATGTTATTACCCCCCCCCCTTGCCAATAACCAGCCAATGTGGTGTGAAGTAGGTAGAAATTAAGGTCACTTACAGAAATAAGGGGGATGCAGATTTTATAAGGATATACTTTGAGTTGAAAATGTTTAATTGAAATGTGCATTAATGTTACTGTTGACTGGCGTTTTTTTTTTTAGTAATCTCAGTGCTGCTTCAATATTTCCTGGACCATTCACCATGCCACCGAAGTCTTCAATGGCTTTGTCCTTCAGATTAACGAAGTAAGAAATCAATTTTTTTGTTTACAGTTTTTATGGATCAATAGTCCCAATACAACTCTCAATATTTGCAAAATACGACTCCTCGACATGCAAAAAAAAAAGGCGGTGCATGCGAATGGTGGAACCTTTCAGGTCACAGGGCTCTTGTGATTTCTTTGTTATATCTACAATTACCGTACGAACGATTTATCAAAATTGCTCGTAAAATGAGATGGAAACATCGAAAATTCCAACATTCAATCCTTATAGAAAAAAATAGCATTTTTATTGTGTCTCGTTGTAAACTTTCCGCTTCTTGTAAAAACTAAGGTCTACTTTGGCTAAATTGGGCACTGAAGGGACTTAGATTGCGCCTTTTCTTTGTAGGCTGCATATTTTGTGACAAGACTAGATTCAGAAGTGCCGTTTAGGTTTCAGGACATTTTGTCAACGATTTTTTGTCCGCGCACCTTTTTTGTCCTGTAGTTTACGCCCACACGTAAAATAAGCAACAGTGACTTGGTCCAAGCGTTATATTTTAGTCGGTATGTAAAATTACGTACACCTCGTTCACCTGGCTGCAGCACAATAAAAGCACAAAATGTAAAAGAAAAAATTGAAGTGCTTTGGAAGTCATTAAATTTGACACGGAACCACCAATATTTAAAAAACACACATTATATTATTATTCTCCTTTGATAAATTGATACATATTTTTTCCCCATCAATTTAAATGAGAATAATTAATGCAGAGTGTGCAAACATTTCAAAATCATGAGTGAAAGAACGCTGACTATGCTAGTATAAATATTAAAACCTAACAGAGCGGAGCGGCGTGCTGCCAGCGCGAGAGGCTCACTGGCGCCTACAAACCTAAGTGGATACTTCACGCATTGCACAATGCTTGAAGTATCCACTTAGGTTTGTAGGCGCCAATGCGCGTTTCGCGCTGGCCGCCCGCCCGCCGTGCGGCGCGGCGGCGGCGCCTGTAGCAACTACTTCACAACAGAGGTGTTGCACAGTATTATACGAAATAGAACGTATTAAGAATGGCAGGCATCCTTTAAAATTACAGATCTTTCCTTGCAAAATAAATCAAAATACTTATCGTACACAGGAAAAATCTAAGAGCCTTTAACTGAGGCAAATATAGAGGTGTATCCGGTTCAGGTATAACAAGGTGGAAATTTCTTGGAAGATAATTAAGTCCTGTTACACCAAAGAGGTGTAGAGAGTTTTAGTGAATTTTGTCTCATGGAATTGACGCTCTCCCATTTTTACCAAAACTCTCAACTATATATTATTCTCCGTTGGACCAAACAGACAAAACAAAAAAAAAAAAACAAAAAAAAAACAAGCAAACCCTTATTCTTCCAAGACATTATATATTTTCATCCAAAAACGTCGTGAGCAATTGTCGTTTGTATTTACATGTGGACCAAGTAACTGTGGGTCTCAGCTGGCACGTGGACCAAAAATCCCGTGCCGAAAAAACGCGTGGACGTAATGCGCGGACAAACAATCGTTGACGAAATGTCCTATAACCGCCGTTTATCAGAGGAAAATGGGAACTATTGTGAAACGAGAGATTAGTTTGTTGTCGTGCGTATTTAATCGTTTCAATAGCAGACTTGATGCGAGTTGAATTTGGTTTTTATGTGAGCTGGAAGTTTGCTTTGATTGATTTTACTTTCATTTCTTTTTTTAATTCTCTATTTGTTTGATGCACTATGGATGAAGTTTTGATTCACAAACATTCGCAGGATACTTTTGTAATTTCTACACTATCAAGTGCTTTACTATCGGGATTAGATTCAACAATTTGCGAAAAAATGATTGTGACAATTCGTGAGGATTCAATTATTTCAATGTATTGTACTTGATATTGCGGACCTGCCCAATTGAAGGCGAATTGAGTTCTGTTTCTTACCCTGCAAACGTGAATGTCTATTATTGGTTGTTGCTGATGTTAAAACATGTGTAAGCAGCCTAACTGCAATATTGCAAACTCCATTTATGGTTTTTTTCCTTTTACAAAAAATTATAAATATTAAAGTCAGCGGTTTTTTAAAATCGATTTTGAACTCTTTCCACATATTCAAAATATTCACAGAAAATTGCAGAAGAGATACTATACGGTTAGTCTTCTTCTCAGAGAAGTTAACAAACTCTGAAATGTTCAAATGTTGCAGATAATCATTTTCTGATTTTACGCAATGACTTTCCAAACATTTTCTGCAAAATTTGATTACGAATTCTCAATGTGTATTTTTTTCTTTTTATTTCAGGTTAGTTTCTCAAGTTAAAATCCCTTCAACGTTGCCACAGTCAAAAGAAAAGCCCATGAAGAAGACCGAGGAGAGGCCGCTTGAAAAAACTGAAAGTAGAAAACTGCCGTTGAATATGAATTTAATTCAAGAGAAAGACAAAAATGACCAATAAAACTGTTCTTCTTAGATTAATGATTCCTTAAATGCATCAATAAAAATCATTACAATTTGCTTTTTTCTGCGTTTGTAGTTTTATTTTTACTGACCAATTTTTGGCGATGACAGGCAAAAAATTCGGGTGGTGTGGCGCTCCTGAATGGACCACTAGACAAGGTACGAATTTCAGCATTCTGATACACGCTTCATAATCAAAATTTCACGTAAAACACGATGCGCACGACGAAAATTACTAAAATCAACTCCTTACGAAGATATTCAATAATTCTTGATGCGTGAATTCAAACCACCCGCTCATGAAAACTCAATGCTCTACGTAATTCACATCGCGCTCTAAACGTTTATCATGACAGTCTCTGCGATATGAAAATCTGGCAACCTTAATCTTGACGCTTTGGCTCAGCTGTAGCAAATTGCTTATAGTTTGAACAATACATGGTGAGAAATGAACATTGCTCGATTGAGAAGATCGCTGAAACCGTCGTAGTGCGCGATTTGACTCACGCTAGAGCTTTGAGTTTCTTGTGAGCGGGCGGTTCGAATTCCTCGTAACCAATGCGGAATAAAAACGTTAATATCTTCGTTAGCAGTTGGTTTCAGTCATTTTCGTTGCGCGAAGCGTGTTCTACATGAAATTTTGGTTAAGAAACATGTATCAGAATCCTTTAATTCGTACCTTGTCTAGTGGTCCATTTTGAAAATGGACCGTATTCGATAATGGTTCGATGTATCGTTTGGTTCAAAACAATAGAACATAACCTCAAACAAAACTAATATGATTTGATTTAATTTGAAAAAGCTGGAAATGAGAAAATTCCTAACAATGTCACTTCGCCATTTAGTACTCAAAAAATTAATTATCTACTACAAAAGACCCGTTCTCTCGGGGTTCTGAATTGACTTTTGAGGCTATGTTTATGTTTTGAACCAATCGATATCGATACAATCTCACCCGTTTGATGTATCGAATACGATCCATAGGTATTTTTTTTTTTTCGCACAAAAATTCAACGATGTGTATTTCAAAATGTTTCAAAATAGGTATGTGTCTTCTGTTTCCTCGTATATCAACATTAAAAGGTTAAAACTTATCCTCTGTTGCCTGATTGCCACTGGTTGCTTCGTAAACCTCATGTAAAAAGTGATCCGGATCTACCGGGAAGGGGAAGAGAGCAGTAAGTGCAAAAATGAAGTTTTGGAGAAACGGGCTCAGAGGCGTCTAAGCGGAAAATTTTATCAAAAGAAGCATCCGTTCTCTATCAAATTGTTACCAATTGTCCTCCGGACTTTTAAAATTGTTTTCAATGATAATAAATCAACAAATTTGATTTCAATTACATAAAGAGGGTATTGTTCATTTTCATATCAAGCTAGTTTTAGGCAAGACAGCCATTAGTGCTATCTTTTGCATGCTATCGTGGTTGTGTGTTAGGCACACAACAAACACATTTTTTGGTTAGACATTGGCAGAATAGGGTGGCACTGTACTTGAAAGCACTGTTTCCATTGGCTCACTGGAGAAAAAATGTTACTCACTGCTGTTCTGCCTGATCCTACGTCATTTTATGCGCCATTACGGCTTTCTCATAGGTCTCGTCTTCATACAATTACGATGCATTTTGTTCTTTTCACTATTTCAGTGATTTCATCTGAAAGAAATAAGACGAATTTTTAAGGAAACTCGACTCCGAAAATTACAGCTCTCTTTGCTATCACAGCAGAATTAAAATGCACCAGGCTTTTTCCTCTGTAATTTGGGATGAAGTTGGGAGCAAGTAGACAGTTAACCCCAAAGAATACGATTTTTGCACCATCCCGAGAAAATCCCCCCTCCCCCCAATCGGTTCCCCTGTGAGATGAAAGAGGGGCGCTGTCTTTGAAATTAGGGGTTTCCGTGATAACTTCGAAATCATTTCATCAAAATCAGGAAGGACAGAACATTTTGACCTACATCGCTATCAAGAAGTCCAAAGTCGGCCCATGCTATCCGGTATATTGAACCCTGAAGTTGAGGACAAAGCTTTCCTTCGATAAAATACTAGGTTACAAAATTGACACTGCAAAGTTGTTTTCCATAGTTAATCAAGCCATGAAATTCGAGTTTCACGGCTTTGAAGCTCTTTGGGCTTCGCTGATGGGGCACTATATACGCGTTTGTCGATCGAATCAACCACAGGTTATATGAGCCGGGAGTCAAAACGCCTTCAATTTTTTGAACGCAATACGGACATCCGTCGAGGTTGTATAGTTGTATCAAGGCGCCGTAGCAAACGCGTCCCATTGTTCATCGTTACAGACGAATATAAGTTGAGAGAGGCCAGTCATAATGCCTCCAATTTTATACATACATATTTTTGGGCAAAATGAGAGACGACGTTTCTCCCTTTGCGACGTTGCAGACTTCCTTAGGAATTTTATTTTCCTTTCGAGAAACTGGTCAATATAAAACTGAAATTCTCCATGATTTTTCGTATTCGGTAGCAGAAGATTTGGTTCAAAATTTAAAGTCGTAAATTTGGATTGTTTCTCATGGATGAGATGAATTCGTCACCTTCCAGGCAAAGTATCACAAGCGCCATGCGACGTTTAAAAATTTCCGCCGCCATTATATTTTTTTACCGAGAAATTGTTGGTTGAATCTGTTCGAAAATTTCACTAAATTTTATCGGCAGCACAAAGAAAATTCGGTGTAATTTTCGGACAGCTTCGTTGAACACTTTCTCTGTAAAAAAATATAATGGCGGCGGAAATTTTTAAACGTCGCATGGCGCTTGTGATACTTTGCCTGGAAGGTGACGAATTAAGAACGGAAATTTTGGAACACCGCAATGGAGATACGTGGTTTCGCACTTCAGTCGGACCGATACGGACATCCAACAAGCTTAAATAGTTGCATCAAGTCCCCTTCACCGCCGACCAACGCGTCCGTCGATCGAATCAACTACAGGTAGTATGAGCAAGGAGTCAAAAAACGCCTTCAATTTTTTGAACGCAATATGGACATCCGTCGAGGTTGCATAGTTGTATTAAGGCGCCGTAGCAAGCGAGTCCCATTGTTCATCGTTATAGGACTCGTCAAAAAGTTTTGATCCCCTTTCTACCTCATCAGCGCTGATGCTGTGATGCAATGCACAGTGGATCGATTCGATAGGAGAGGTCGGACAAAATTTGGAAACTTTATACGCTTTTAACTCCGTTAATGCAAAACTTTGAGGCTTAAGAAGCGGTTCCATTGGTTTCTTCGTGAAATTTTTTTACATACGCACCCCTTGAAATTTAGAATGTGAAAAAATGAACATCAAACTGTGCAGTTTAAGTAAAAATTCATGTCCAACCTCTTTAATTGACTGCATCCACTGTGCGACGATGAGCTGATAAGAGACTCGAAGGGCCTCGAGACCGTCAGATTTGGATTTCTTTTGAGGTAATTGAAAAAATGAGTAATGAATAAAAAAGTAGCTTTAAAATTTTAAATTTATTTGAACGCTTAGTAACACATTCAATGAGAAATGCAATCGATCAATGAACAGGGCTCAAAATCAAGCACCAAATCATGTACCATATTACATGTTTGTGCATCAAGTAAGTTGTTACAGGTACTGCATTACCTGTTACTTTCCTTATCTTAAATTTATAACTTTTTCATCCACATTCAAGCTATCATTAGGGATGCCTGGATTTCGTCCACTATTCATCTTTTAGTCTTTGTCTTCCAGCCATCACCTATGAATTTAATTGCTGAACTGTCTTGCAACTGATAGCTCCACTGATTATAGCCAGTCAATAGCGTATAGACTTGATGTCTCGCCACTCGTGACGTCATCAAGTCTATAAAAGCTTGTGCGGTCCAATATTCTTGGTCCATTTCCATCTCTGACCCTTGTGTACACATGTTACGCCTTTCTGCTCTTCAGGCGTATCCCTATAAGTGTGACTACTCTTTGGAAATTTGTAAATTCATTCCAAATTTTAATACAACCCCTTTTCGGCCCTTCAACTATCTTATTTCATTCTTGCTCTCCCACAACTCCGCTATTTCTAGTCCTCGTTTTAAGGATAAATAGATATATCAGTCTGTCTAACACTCAACAATCCTTAAAAACGTGACAAAAGTGGAATACAATGAACGCATAAAACATTTTCAAATTCAACTTTAGAGTGAAAGTAGAAGCCAGACAAACATGTCCTTTTACGACTCCACTATTCTGCATAAATTTAACATCATCATTTTTCAACATGATACATGGTACACGGACTTTCTGTCCACTTTTTTTTACGTTCACAGACTTTTCGTCCACAATTTTCTTTCACAGTTCTGAAGCCCAGACTATTGTTAAGTCCATTACAAAAACGTCCACTAAGTTAAGTCCACAAATGTGAAGTCCACTAAAATCAAATTCAAGCGTCATATTTTAGTCCGTGTGTAAAATTATATTGACAATATCGAAATGAGAAAATTAAGAGATAATGAGGTGTTGTTAACCTAACTCATATTTTAAATGAAATGTTAATTTCTTCTTTTGATTCATCTTTTCAAATTGTCTTTGGTAAATACTTGGTTTCATTTCTATCCTTGAAATTTCTGATATAAAATATGCCTTCAATGCACATTCTTTTTTTTTAAGAAATTGATTACTTCATTTTAAAAACATTTACATTTTTAAAACGTGGTACATATTTGTAAAACCATTTCCAAGCAATGTCATCGAATATGAATGGCATATGAATCTCAATGAGCCGTAGTTGTGATGAAAGATTCTATACAAAAATTAATAAAAGAGGAGAAAAACTAAGAAGCACGCAATTTTTTGTTTTTAATTTATTTGTACATCGACCTTCTTAAGTCAAATATGTCCAATTTTGAGCGTTTAGTTGCGCTTACACCACGTTGCAGCACAGTAAAAGCCCAAAACATAAAATAATAAATTTGAATGCTTTGGAAATCATTAAATTTGACACGGAACGACTATTATATTTACAAAAAACTCATTATATTTTCCAGTAGTACATATTTCTTTTTCATCAGTTTAAAAGGAAATAATCAATGCAGAGAGTGCAAACAATTCAAAATCATGAGTTGAAAAACGCTGACTCTGCGAGTTTAAATATTACAGCCTAACACAGAGCGGAGCGGAGCGGAGTTTTAGCAGCGCAGAACGCGCACTGGCGCCTACAAACCCAACGGAATACTTCACGCATTGCGCAACGCGTGAAGTATCCCGTTAGGTTTGTAGGCGCCTATGCGCGTATCACGCTGGTTGCCTGCCGCGCCGCGACGCTTTTAGCAACTATTTCGCTTCAGAGGCGTTGCACAGTATCCTACAAAATTGAAGGTGCACGAAATAACTAGTTACAGAGAACTTTCAATTTTGACTGCATCTGTTACTGAAAAATGTTTAATTTGGCATTGGAGCGTTTCCTGGTGCGTCAACTCGCGCATCGTCTAATTTTGAGAAAAGAGATAAGAAATGACACCAGATCTCAAACCAAGTGTTTAATGTTGCTATTATAATACTTGTTACAAACTTCTAAATCACATATTGCCATCGATAAATATTATGTATTAAAAACTTTATACTAAATTGAAAGTTACATTCAAAAATTATGTTTTGAAATGACAAGCTGAAGAAAAGGGTTACAAATAAGGATTTTAAATGAAAGAAAAAGTTTATTGTTCGTGAATGATTTCATAATAACAGGAGTAGTTGGGATTATACTTGAGAAGTGCGCTAACTTTTATCAAATTGATTGTTCTCATTTTCAGGGCATTTAACCTCTTTTCTAGCTTTGGCACACACAAACTTTGATTGAGTGCCGAATCGAAGTTTTTAACATACATTAAATTAAAGCTGATCGCAATTCCTTCTGCTGGTGGTTCTGTAAAATATGGTGGCGCTGTCAGATCGTGTCGATTATAAAATCGACCCTTGAAAACAGGAAGTAAATACACTGACGAGAAGGAAAATTATGCCAATTTTTCTCAAAGAAGCTGTCAAGCGATTTTTCCTAACTTTGGGGCAAAAAGACCATGGTGAACGATCTTTTGACATTCTTGAAACTCCTACACTGATAAAAATAAAAGTGTTATTTTTGGTTGACTTAGGAAAATAAACCCAACCCTAATTTTGTGTTGATTGTTGTACAGGTTGTGGTGAATTAAGCGCAGAACGCAATATGGAGACATTGGGAAACCCCAGAGTCGATCGAAGACTGTTTTACCTCCTGTATTTAACCAGAATTCGATGTTAAGTTTTCTCTCTGTGTACGAGCTACAGGTAGCTACATTCGACGAAGAAAACACAGCATTTAAACGTCACTGGCAAGCCGCGTTGCAAATTATAGCGATACATGTTTTTCATGACTTTTCTTGCTGGATAGGAAAATTTTGACTTCATATTCAAACACGAGGAGCCTTATTTACAAACTATTGCCGTGATATAATCTATGATCATCACTTATTTACCGCCAAAAATTACACGGAAAAAAAGCACGAGGTTGTTTGATGATATGGACATTTCCAATTAATTGTGATAGTACCCCAGCTAGTAGCCATATATACAAGCACCCCAATTAATTATGGTAGTACCCCAATAAATTAGGTAAAAACTAAGCCAAATGTTGCAATACTACCCTAACTTGAGTTGCGGTATTACCCTAATTAATTGGAAATGTCCATATCTACCAACAAATTGGGGTAGTGCCACAATTTTAGAGGATAACCCCTGACACTTTTATTTCCGTGTACCTTTAAGATCGGAATTGGCAACGTGTAACCGATCGAACATTCCCCGTCTTTGGAGACGCAAATTTTTTAAATAATGCGAATTTTTTATATAGTTCTGCGTGGATAAACTTGTGGACATCATACATTCCGATATATTGCCTCAGTTTTTGATTATTGTGTCGTAAGTTACTCATTCCTACCGGCTACACGACTATTCCTGGTATCATGAAATCATCCAGGGGTATTTTTAATTTTTTGTTGGATAAAATTTATCCTTACTATTCTTATTTTGTAACTGTATGGGCTTTACGTTTACTTAATAATGTTGTTCTTTTTCAAGTATTTGATATTGAAACCCTTCGCAAGCATTGCTCTGGTAAGAATGTTTTCAACGATTGGCATGGTCATCTGTATCTCCAGCTGGGATAATTGATCTCCAATTTGGTGACGAACAATATTTCGTGCTTGCTTGTCACCTATTTTGTGTTTTGTTGTCAAAGTCTGTAAGGGCAGATAAATTCGTATGTTAAAAAGATGTACAGCACGTTCTAGAGGGACAACATACATGAATACCTTCCATGCACATAAAAAATGTAGATATTCCTGTTCGATAAACCTATCTCTAGAGGCTTATCGTCTGTATGCAATATATCGTCACCTCACAGCCAAAGTACCACAAGCGCCATGCGACGTTTCGAAATTTTAGCCGCCATTTTATTTTTTACACAGAAATTGTTGGTTGAATCTGTTTGGAAATGTCACTGAATTTTATCGGCAGCACAAAGAAAATCCAGTGAACTTTTGGACAGCTCCAACTTGTCCAACGGACAGCTTTTGGAACAATTTCCCTGTGAAAAAAAAATGGCGGCGGAAATTTTGAAACGTCGCGTGATGCTTTTGATACTTTGGCCGGAAGGTGATAGTGCGCCACCCCCGGGATTGCTTCCTAGGTCTTCTCGATACCCTGTATCGAGTCCCATAAATTTGTATGGAAAATCATTAAGTAAGGTAGCTGCAAATTTCGTCAAAAAATTATACTAATGCCTCAAAAATTTAAATTCACTCAGGGTCGCAAATCTTTATTCTCTCGGATAGAAAGAGTGGATTGAATTGTGAGGATAATGCTCTGAAAAATGCGGACGAACATATTTATATATTTTCCAGAAAATGTGTATATTGTCAGAGGGAATGGACTAATATCAAAATGTCTGTGCGAAATATTTTCATAAACACGCACCTTCAAAATTTCGAGCCTCAGGTTAAAAATCGCTTTTGAAGATAGCGAGGTGAGTGACGTCCCTTGAATTTTGAGTCTAGTCCAAAGATCTTTTAGGAACTTATATAAATGACCTAGGTGATGTGCTCGATGAAGAAGAATTAAAGGCATTGAAGGAATTAAAGAATTAAATACATTTTTCAAAATTTACAGTTCTTTAAAATGAGCTTTCTGTGTGATTTTGCTGAGAATCAGACTGAACCCCCCCCCCCCCCCCCCAAGTTTAGCGTACCCCAAAATCGTTTGACGTGCATAATGAGACCATAGATATGGTATTCTCTGCAAATTTTGAATGAAATCGAACTGATAGATTCTGAGATATCTCTGTAGACAGATTTGGAGGACGCCTGCGCCTGACAGACGGAAACACATTTTTTCAAGTATGGCTATTTTTGACTCCTGTGACCTTAAAACGTCTAGAAATGATGACATTTCAACTTTTTTTTTCCTCCTTGGAGGATGACAATACTTTCTCTACTCTAGGGTAGCGAGAAAGTAAAAATACGCCGGTACAGTATACTGTGTGCCATCCTATAAAACCCAATTTGAGAGTTACTGAATTCGCGGGTAATTTTTAAAATTTTTGTCTCAGGTTCTTCAAATTCAAGACAAAACAGGCTGTAATGATTCAGATCTATTAGAGGGAATACTCGCTTATACACGAGTCCACCCCCAATAAGAACACAAATATTTGGAAAATATTTTTTGATTATTTTCCAAACTATAAAATGTTCCCCCTCTGGATATTGCTTGGATATTGTCGGAATATTTTAAAATTAATTTTAAAATATTTTTTGGATGTTTTAAAATTATTGGAAAATTATTTTAAAAATAATGAATGTTCTGAAAATATTGCACAAATATTGCACCTAGAGTGCGCGCACTCTAGGTGATGTATTTGGTCCTAACGTTCCTTCGATGGTGCACATGTGTTATTACAAATTGATAGATCATAGAGTTGTAACTTACGTTAAAATCCGCGCCGCCCTAGTCCGGAATCGAACCCACGCCCCGGAACGGAGTTGGGATCCGTATTCCAATAACTTACCGCTAGACCAGCCAGGCTTGATACAGACGGGCCCCTAAATTCAATCTCTTAACTATCGCAGGCCTCTGAGTCCGTAATATGTTTGTATATTGACGGATTCTTATAATATTTTACCATAATTTATTATTTATTATTTTTATTTCATCGTGTAATTTTTGTTTCAAATTCTTTATTAATTGTACTCAAGATATTCAAATTCATGTATTTCAAATTTTCATTTTCATTTATTTATCTATTTTATTTTTTTTTTATTTTTTAACTCTCTCTCATTTTTTTTAACTTTCTGGTTTTTTTGACTCTCATTTTTTTATTTTTTTTTTAAAACCAAATTCCTGTTTTTTATAATTGCGTTTTTTTCCAGTTTTAATTATTTGGACCTTTTTCTAGTTTGAATTTATGTCGATGCATTTATGTTATTTATTATTTTATTATTATTATTATTTTGTGTGTTTTCTTTTTTTTACCCTTTCTTTTTTCTTTTATTATCAGTTGAATTTAATTTTATGTCTGATCCGGCAGATTAATTGGGCATCACAATTTGCCGGGCAGATTAATATTGTTCTTTATTTAATGTTTTACTTTTTGAATAAAATATCTTATCTCATCAGAAAAGAACATACGCACCAAAATCAGCCCCTACAGCGCGCGCATATTTTATAATATTTTATTAATAATTTTAAAATTATATTTTGTAGTATTTTTACGACTAAAAATGTAAATATTTAGTAATTGCTTCAAAATTATTTTTCAAAAACATTTTCATTTAAATATTGCAAACATATTTTAAAAATAATTAATTTTAATATTTTAAAAATTTGATTTAAAAGATATTGTAAAACTATTTTAACAGTATTTTCGTGAAAATATTTTCTTGAAAATATTTTCCAAACAACGGCAATATTTTTAAAATATTTTCAAAATATTTTGTTCTACCTGGGCCCTTATCGCAATGCATCACCTGTGTGTGTAAAAATTGCCCTCGAATTCAGTTACTCTCAAATAGGGTCTTAAAGGACGGCACAACAGTCAAATCTATGTATATATACCATGAGGTGCACTCACCTCGACCGCAGATTTAAATGGGGTGTAAAACATGTCGGTTCTGAAGAGCATTCTTTCGAGGATCTCCGGCTTGATTTGACTATAAGCTTCCAGAGCTTCCTTTATTGTGTCGGGATTGTAATCTTTCAGTTCTTTCGGAATTTCTAGTTTGGGCATCATGAAGCCTTCGGGTGGTTTAGCTGTGTCGCCTCGAACATCCTTGTGCGCTTGATTCCCGCGCACTGGATTCACACGATATCGTGGTGGGGTGGGCGGTGACGACGGACCTTTAGCCGGTTTGTTTGTCTTTCTGCGGAATAAACTTGGACGTCCCTAGTAGCCAAAATATTATTTTTAATACTTATCGAAGTAGCAATTTAATATGTATCCAAATAGCTATAAAATAGGGTATAAAATAGCTGAAAATAGTTATAAAATATCCTATCTAAATACCCTATATAGTGTCCTTTTTTTCAACTATAAATACCGTATTTTATAGCTTTCTCTATAGCTATAAAATAGGTATCTGAATAGCTATTTAATAGGTATATGGAAACCTATTAAAAAGATATTTTATTTTTGAAAGAGAACCAAAATTGAGACCTTGAAAATCATAAGGTGGTAAGTGCATTGATACGTTGCCAAGATTGTGCAACTGTATACGATAAATGCAGCAAATCAAAACCATGTAGAGGCGAAACTTTTTTAGCAAAAATTCCCTGGGCTATGCTGATTTTTTTTTTTTGCATTGAAGTTTGCAATTCTATATGATTTTGGTTTGCAAAAAATAAAGTTGCTCTATCATAGCAACGTTGCAATGCACTTATCATCTTATGGTTCTCAAGGCTGCAACTAAGAATAGTAAGAAAATTCACTAACATGTTTGAGAAAATAAACAATAATTCTTGGGTTTCTTGAATTTGAAGGTTGAATGATGCAATTTATTCCACCCATTTAGTGTTTTAAATTATTCACTTTCCCATGAAGTACATGACTTCCCTTGATTTAATAGTCCAAATAAAGTCTTAAAGTCAATAAAGACTTTTTGTGAAAATATTGTCCGCAATATTCTTAAATGATGTAAAGGTGCCGGATTTTGTACGGATATTTTCGGAAGATTAGATGCTAACTGGGAACTGGGCATGTAACCCTTGCAACAGGATGAGTGGCTTGAAAGAAGAAAAAAACGTATTAAATAGCTATAAAATACATATTCTCAAACGGAAATTTTAAACCAAGATAAATGCGCATGGAATATCTATGAAATAGCTATAAAATATGCTATTTGTACGATACCGTATAACATAACAAAATAAATAGCTATAAAATAGCCTATCCGGCCGATACCTATTCGATAATCCTATTTTGGCTACTAGGGGTACTTCCGATTCCTCTGCTGATTTCCGTGATGTCTTACTCGTTTGCTAGGTTTTAAGTTTGAATCATAGAATAGGTTGATAAGAACCTCATAAAAATGAAACAGAGGTAAAAAAAAAAGTAAAATAAAATAAAATAATTTTAAAACGTATAACGAAGCGCGCGTTCAGCAGAAAGGAACCATATGCATAAACAGCATATCTTCTTGAGGGAAAATAATTGTGCTCATATGAGCTTTTTTCCTCTGTATTGTGATTTTTAGCTTTATGCTGAATTTTTAACGCACGTTGGCAAAAAACTCCAACATACTGTATTACCTGTCACCAAATTAAAATAGATAATTGTATTTTTTACACGAGAGCCTTTGTGCGAATTCCTTTGAAAATTTCAAGGAATTTGCTTAATACCACGCCGAAACACTAAAATTCGCACAAAAATCCGCAAAACCGTTCTTATGTAAAATATTAAATCGCCCGGTAAATTTTTTTTGTTTTTTATTTTTTTGAAGGAATTTTATTTAAATATAAAGTAACTACTACAAGTATTTCCTTGTATCTATCTACATGGTTTAAAACTAAAACTAAACGAATTGCATTAATTTCACAGGGTAACGTTGGATGATACGATGATTGTATAAAATTTGGAAATAGCAGACGTGGCTTGGTTCCTTTCTGTTTAACGCGGTCCAATGCATCCCGATTTTGTAAATGTTTCTATTTATTTTCTATTTAGTGTGTGTTCTAGTTTCTATTTACATTGACTATGGAGCGAACCGTATAATTATGATACATTCATTCTTTTGGTGGTTTCATTTATGGTTTGACGAAGATGACGATCGACGTTTTGATCATCATAGTGGTTATCTCCAGGTCGTTTTCTTTGGAATATTCGAAATTTCGCTGACCCCCGCGACATAAGGACGTGACCACCAGTGGCGTGGCGTGCTTTGCCATATATCGATTGATCTGCCATTTAAACCTCTGAAAAAGGATCGATAAGGTGGGTGTCCGCAACGAACACCTTAATAATAGATTCTTTACCATAGCTTCAAATTGGGAAATATCAATAATTATTGTTGATTATTCACGCCTCGCCACTGGTAACCACACGTCGCGATGGACCGCAGTGGCGTGGCGTGCTTTGCGATATATCGATTGTTGTGCCATTTAAACCTATGGAAAAGGATCGATAAACAGGGTGTTCGCAGCGAACACCTTAATAATCGATTCTTTACCATAGGTTTAAATGGCATAACAATCGATACATCGCAATTCACGCCACGCCACTGGATGGACCCTGTCCTCTATACTGCCGTGCCAAGGAAGAACGCCATATGAAAATTCGAGAGTTGCCAAATTTCCTTCACTGAAAAGTTTATTTTTGAGGAAATTAATTAATGTTTTTGCGTGAAATTTTCAGGAACTTCGGGTAACATTGCGGGAACAAAATTACTTGAGAAATTGGAAGAAAAATATTCATAAGTTTACCAGGAAATTCGTGCTTCATCAAAGGAAATTAGGCAAGGCCGGAAGGTTCATACGGCAGCATATACTCAATTTTTTCTCGGGCTTATCTTGGAGTGTACTTACATCAGTGGCGTGGCGTGCTTTGCGATCTATCGATATTGCCTCATTTGAGGCTGTGGTAAATAATCGATTATTAAGGTGTTCGCTGCGAACACCCTGTATATCGATACTTTTCCATAGGTTTAAATGGCCGATCAATCGATATATCGCAAAGCACGCCACGCCACTAACTTACATCCCTTCGTAAGCCGAGCGTCGTATTTATATGTGTTCGCAGACATAGTAATGGTTGTGTCATCAGCTGCGACGAATGGAAACGTATTGATTGACACGAATCGATCGACACTGGCTCAGGTCTCTCTTACCGAAGACATCCATGGTAACTTTAAAAAAAAAAGAAGAAAAAAAGGTAGAAGAAAGAAAAACGGATTGGTAAGACTGAGTTTGGTTTCAAATGATACATGCTTTAGAAAATTGTCAAACTTACCAATTCAACATCTACGGCCAGTAGAACCAAACAAAACGCGGCGATAGTTAATTTCATCTCGGGATGGGTAACGAACTCTCTCTTTGATTTCTACGACCGCTGTGAAAGTTCACCGACGAACTCCGAACCCGAAAGGCCCCACATCACCATTTATAACCGACTGTGAAATGCGTCATCAACTCGCTAAAAGTCACGTGTAAAAAAAAGAGGAAAAGCATAGAAACAAAATTGAACATGGATTAAAATTATAGTAAAAATCAGCCATGTTTGAAAATGAAGTCTGTAAGGTTTTCAACTGCTCCCCGATTCTTCGAATTCTTTTATATTTGCCGCCGAGAAGCTGTGTCTATGGCCTTCATGATTTTTTTCCCCTTTTTTTTTAATGAAAAAAGGGGGAAAAATTGAATTCAGAGGAAATCATAGCTACGCTGCTCTTTGATTCTGACTGAGTATCTTTTTATTGTTTTGTCATTCCATTCTAACCCATACTCGGAACATTTTTTTCCCAATAGCTCATGAGTTTTTCGATGTGGCGGACAAACATTTTGAAAGGAGTTTTCAATACGTGATGCTCTTTGCAACCAGAGCGAGATAAATAGATAAATACATTGAATTTCTAATATTTTCTCGATCAAATAATATCATGCACTGGAAAAAAACACATTGGATCTAGAGTCCAGACTCTTGAAGACATTGACAAGAAAAAATACTCTTGATTCAATCGGATTTTTGTCTGAATCAAAACAAAATCCGCTTAAATTAAGAGGCTTAGTTCTTTGATTTAGGTAAGCTAGATTTCGATTGAATCAAGAGTACTTTTTCTTGTCGATGTTTTTAAGAGTCCGGACTCTAGATCCAATGTGTTTTTTCCAGTGTATTTGGTGAAATAAAAAAAAACTGAAATTACGTCAAATTCAAGTAACGAAAAGGAGCGCTAGCAGAACATGGAATAATAAAATAAACCGATTGATGAAAAATTTTGGTAGAGGGGCAGGAATTTTCGATCTTTAATTATTAGGAAGGATTTGATAGATTATAATGCAAAGTGCAATATAAAAAATAAATAATGTGAAAATAATGAGAGAAGTTGCTTGGTATGAATGTTCCCTGGTGAGCTACGTTTCGATGGCCTAAGTGTGAAACCACGTATCTCTATAGCGGAGTTTCAAAATCTCTGCTCCTAGTTTATTTTTTCGGAGAGGTAAAAGTCAACTGCATTGCTTAAAATTTATACAGAATATTCTGCCATAATAGACAAGAAAAATCAAGGAAGTTTTCAAGCAATTAAGTTCACCAGTTTTCCACGGAGAAAACTAAGTATGACCGGAAGTCTAGAACGTCGCAAACGGAAAAGCGGCGTCTTAAATTTTAGCCATCGATTCGCCAGTTGAGGAAAATATATTGGCTGAATTTCTTGGTTCCCTTTGAATTTCGGGGTTCTTTCATACGACCAGAGCGGTCAACATGTAAACCGCCACACTTGACATCCAGTAAAAAATAATATATATACGGGGTTGCCCGATTATGGCTATTGGGTGACATAATACTACAGACATCTATCAACTCATGGCTTCTGCACCTCATTTTTTTATACCCCCAAAAAGTTTGGTCTTTCTATACCCGAGGGGCAAGCAGTCCTCTTTAATGTGTCCCTTTTCCCTAAAATTGGAGAAATTCCTTAAGATAAGATTAAAATGAAACTTCGCAGAGAAAAACCTTCCGTCATAATGCACATAGCTTGAGCTCAAAAGTTGGTTCTGGTGATAACAATTTTAGCATGTAAAAAAGAATATTGTAATATGATAAACAACGAATGTCATTCAGTCCTTGTGTGTCACCAAAAGCAGCTTTAAACGAGCTGAAACGTTAAATGGAAGCCTCTTCATGACATTTCCAGGTTTTTGGAATTGAGTACAAAAAGTTGCTCCTGCTTAGAGAGACTCTCTATTTTTTCGTTATTGTTTTTCGCAGTTTTTCACATCAGTGATGAGCGGTCGAATTTGCACGGAAAAACGCTGTTGAGGAGCAGAGGCGGATTCAGCAATTTTGGCAACACCAAACCCCCCTTCTCATTTAAACCTATGTTGAAAAATTCAGTCTTGTCGGAGCACCTGGCCTCTCCAAGAATCGATACATTTCTTTAGGTTTAAATAGAGAAAAACGGTGTCGCCAATTTGCTAGATCCGCCAATGTTGAGGAGTAAAGTATTGTGGCATGATGAGATAAATGAATCTTTTGCACACAAGATATACTACACAGAGAGGTGGATGTAATTATTCAATGTTAATCCGCTCGGAAAACACAATGACAACATCAAGAAAGGCTGAAATCCACTCTTAAACGGACATTTTGCCTGGTTCTTATAACACATTTTCAAATTTTCCTTTCTCTCATTGACACTTTTTCCTTTGTCGCTGGCAACTAGTTTTGCCTTGAAAGAGTTGTATCTTAATTATGCAAGGTTTGCTTAGAAAAAGGACAAAGAAATCCTAAATTAAGTTTACCAAAAGCCCTGTGACTTGAAATCAATCCACCATAAACACTTCATTTGTTCCGTTCCTAAGATTTTTGTAATCTTTATCTAGAAGAAAAGGCAAAGGCAGATGCTTTGAAACGTCTGAAATAATGTGTGTACCATTCGAAAAGATTGTTAGTGTACTTAGGTCAGATTTTCTTACATTTCTGTCGGAACAAACCTGACTCCAGGCAACGAAAAAACGGAAAAGTGCCCACAATCGCGGAATACGTGACAAATTCTTGTGTGGACTTGGGAATTTGTGCCCTTTGAGGAGTGTATTTCAGAATCCTTTGAGATTCTCATCACGATTTCTGCGCGGTTTATCATAAAAAAATGTATATAATTATTTTCTGTATCTTCGGTGGGCTACAGACCCGGATCCTATTTGGGCTATAATCTATTGCAAAGAGGTGTAGTGCTGAAATACGCCAAAACGCAGCATGGTCAATCAATTCTGTGGTAACAATCGTTAACGAATGTGCCAATATCTCCCTCAAAACTTTAAATATGCAATCCCTTGACGACCGTGTCAAAAGAATGGAGATGTTGCATATGTGAGGAATTTGCGATTTGACAATTGATTCTTGGGTAAAAGTTCGCGAGAAACAGGATGGTGTCACTGGTTTTTCTCTAAAATCAACTCCTAAGCGCAAAAAAAGCTCTCGAAGTGAGGCCAAAATGGAGGGGATATCCCGCCCTACCCTGAGAGTCCACCTCTACATCAAAAAAAATTCTCCATGCAAAAATAGGGAGCAAATACATTAGCAGGGTTGCCGTGTTTTCAGTTTCGGAGTCCCCAAAGAAAATGGCAGCCCTGCCAATGAGCGGGATATCTCCTCCATTTTGGCCTCACTTTGAGAGCTTTTTTTGAGCTTGGGAGATGCTTTCAGAGAAAACCAGTGGCACCATTATGTTTCTCGCGAACTTTTACGTAAGAATCATTAGTCAAATCGCAAATTCCTCACACATGCAACATTTCTTTTGACGTTCAGCATCTAAGAGGCCCGAGTTTATGGCACCAGCTATTGCCAAATTGTATGGTTTGACTTTTTATGTCTTACAAGAGAACGGTTGCTCCAATTATTTTTTCAAATATTTCAGGGAATATGCTTTATACTTCGAAGGAAATCAAGGTTTCAGAAGAATCGGTACACCTGATTTCATTTAAAAATATAAACCGTCGAATATTTGATATTAGTTGTTGTCATTCGGACCCCTCGCGAGGAACACCGCTATCGATATAATATTTATGAGCTTTAGGTGATAAAATAATTAAGATAGACTTTTGCCTAACACTCTAGTTGAAAATATTAATTTCCATGATCAGTATTGATCCTTATATTAGTTGATAGAAGCCAGAGGTTGGTTTTTTATCCACTATTCCGTCGAAAAATAGAATAGAAAAATAAATAGAAGAGCGAGGAAGAATGTAATTCATTTCCACAAAATAAATTCAATGCCTCGTGGAGAATTCCACGAGAAAAATACGTGGAAGAATTTAATGCGGCAGATGTTTTTTTTTTTTAAAAAAATTGCGTGACACGCTCTTGTTCAAATGGTAGCGCGCATTGTGAAATTAAATGATTCCTCTCTCTCTCCTGCTGATATTTTTTTCTGCCAACGGTTTAAAAGACAGGATTCTGCTCAATTTATAAGATTTTCATGTAATTAGTATGACGCTCAATAATTTATATCGAAAGGTTGATGTGTNGGGGGGGGGGGGGGGTTAGGAAGATTCAGGAACGGTAGCTAGGTTGGCGAAGTTTGAAAACAGGATGGCTTCAAAATCGCAAAGCCAACGAGTTCGTTGGATTGAGGTAAATGCTGACAATATGAAAAAATCTTGCTCCAAGTTTTAAGAAGGGGAAGAAGAGGGATAAAATGGATGGAGAAATGCCGAGGGAATCTTTCTTTTGATAGACTATTATGAACATGTTTATCGTGTACATGTTTTGGGCTTCTGAAAAAAGGATAACTTGAGAATTTTAGGGGTCATACATCCAAACACGATGGTTAATTCAAAGGAACATTTTTTATCACCCACTCTAAAATTTGTATTCCTTACTGAAAACTCCAATTGTCTGCGCCGAAGTTCGGTTTTGATCGAAACCTCGGTTAGTAAGACTGACAACTTTGGTTTCCAGTAAGTACGAACCAAAATTCAGTTGTACCTGAAGATTTTTTGTCGATCGATGGGTTATTCACTATTGCCTAATCAGTTGGGTGGAAGATTCCATTCGCATAAAAAATGGGCCATGAAAGTGTTCTTAGTGCTTTGACGCAGACACGACGATCGAGAAGAGACGTAGCACAGCGGATCGAGTCGATAGGAGAGGTCGGACAAAATTTGGAAACTTAAACCCTTGTAATTCCGTTTATATAAAGCTTCGAGGTTTCAAAAGTGGTTCCATTGGTTTTCCCGTGAAATTTTATTTTAGAAACATTCCTTAAAATTGAAAATGTGACGAACTAAACATCAAAATTTACAGTTTTAGTTCAACATTTCGTCACCTTCCAGGCAAAGTATCACAAGCGCCATGCGACGTTTAAAAATTTCCGCCGCCATTTTATTTCTTTACTGAGAAATTGTTGGTTGA